AACTCTTCAGAATAGATCGCCTATAAAGCAGACACCCAGATGGGGTGAAACATGTAAGAATTTTATTTGGAAAAACACAAGTATGACTGTGTGCATATTATAATTCAATAAAAAGATGTGCCAAAAATTACTCAATACAGCAGGTAACAAAAAAAGGAACTTTGCTCCTTTCTGAAGTTAAAGCTTCTTTCATATTTAAGATCTATAGGAAGTGTGAAATTTTAGAATTTTTTCCTGGGATGAGAAAATAGTTGTGTTATTTTTTTTGTGTAGGGAAAGAAGATGGAGAAAAATGAAGATTAAATAGATCTAAAGTAGCTCTTAAAATAGATCTTAAAGGTGCTCTGGCAGTGCAGTAGTTACGAGTCGGGCTGTTAACCTCAAGGTCAGCAATTTGAAACTACCAGTCATTCCTCGAGAGAGAGAATGATGAGGCTTTCTCTCCTGTAAAGATTTACAGCCTCAGAAACCCTATGCAGGGTCGCTATGAGTCAGAACTGACACCACAACAGAAAACCACACAAAGTAAACGTGCTTTTCAATTATTCAAGAAATACTCTAAAGCATAGATGAGAAGGTTTGGGGTCTCTGAGATGAGGTTAGTGGGAATGGAACTAGAATGGAAATGAAATGTTGATATATACAATGTAACCCATATTACCCTATGCAAGGAGCTCTGGTAGCGTAGTGGTTATGAATTGGGCTGCTAACCTCAAGGTCAGCAGTTTGAAACTACCAGCCGTTCTGCAGGAGAAAGATGAGGCTTTCTGCTTCCGTAAAGATTTACATCCTCAGAAACCCTATGCAGGGTTGCTATGGGTCGGAATCAACTAGACGGCACTTAATAACAACAACAACAACCTATTAACCAATGTAACCTCTATTACTGTAGAAGTTATTGAATGGGAATATGTTTTGCTGTGTGTTCTTCTACAGGAAATATAAAATACTATTAAAAAAAAAAATGAAAACAGAAGACCTAAGTGTGAAAGGAAATGGGGAGGGAGATAGAGAAGACTGGGGAAGCCATCAGACTACATATGTCCATGCCAATGAAGAAGAGCGGGAGGGATGGCCGGATGGAAGCTTCTCAGAGCACTGAGTTGTTAAGTACCATCTAGTCAGTTTGGACTTACAGCCACCCTGTATAGGGTTTCTGAGTGGTTTGAATCACCAACCTTTTGATTAGCAATCAAGTGTTTATTCTACAGCATCACACTAGGACTCCAAGTACTATGTAGGGTAATGATATTCAACAAGGCTGTTAGAGAGTTCTCAAACCAAAGTCTACCATCAGTGGGCTTCTGATATTCGATGAATCAGCCTAACTTAATATCCCTGTTATGGCATTGTAGGATAAGCACAGGATTGTTAACCACACGTTTGGTGGTTCAAACCCACCAGCTGCTCCTTGGGAACCCTATCCTGGGTTGCTATGAATTGAAACTGACCCAATGGCACTTGAGAACAACAAAGTATCTGTGTGGTGTGATATCACTGGCAGGGAGTAGCCTGTGGGAAGTGTGGCCTTGGTACAACATGGTGATGGATTTCAGAGCTTTTGGTCAGTAAAGCTCCCCATAGTTGGAGGACTGCAAGGCAAAATTTTTTAGCTACTATCTTTACCCTACCATTGTAAGACAATGGGTTGAGAAATATCTGAGCTATAGTTTGAGAGGTATCTGGCTTCAAAATAGTGTTTTGCATTGTTTATCAATTAGTATACTTGTAAGTCTAGAGGAAGGAATTTGCACAATGGAAGATAAAGGAGTATGAGGAAAGAACAGAAAGGCAGAGACAGAAAGACAAAGGGAAAGGAGAGAGAAGGAGAAAATAAGGAGAGTAGGAATGCGTGCTAAATGAATGGTGAAGGAAGACTTCAGAGGAGGCAGGAAGAAATGGGGTCAAGCATTTTAACTGTGGACTGGAGGAGTGGCAATTCTCTATCTAGTACAGTGTCTGAATTTGTGTTAAAATAGAAGGTTGTAGAAAGCTGCATTTAGTTATCTCAATTTCTGGCACAAGAGAGGAGCCAACGATATCGGGGCACTGATGGAAGGTTTGGCCTTGAACCTGTGAGACTGAAGCAATGAGCGTAAGGATGAGTGTGGAGAAGGACTTGTGCAGAAATGGGATCAAGTGAAGGAGGGGAAGACTGATGGTCTCTCTTGTCATGATGATATAACTGAAGGTATTATTTATTTGTAGTTCTTCTTACATGAAAAAAACTCCATACAGAAAACTTTAACAGAAATAATTTAAATTTAGAGTATTTAAATTAACATTTCAAATATGTTTTATGCTAAAAAGATCATCTATTACATAAATCTTTCATAGGTACATGTATGCCTGTTTCTCGGAATCAACCAAAACTCTAAAATTTTTCCTCAATTTAATTTGGAATTATTAATGTGGCACTGTGGGCTAATGCACTGGACTGCAAAGTCGGTTTGATCTGCAAGGTTGGCGGTTCAAGCTCACCAGCAGCTCCTTGGAAACCCTATACAGGGTTTGCTATTAGTTGGAAACGACTAGATGGCACTTAACAACAACAGAATTTCCATTTTATTTACATGAAGGATTTGAGTTCCTTTACAATTATTTGAATTATTTCAATTCAGGAGCAACTGTTTATAAGCATCAATGGGCCTTTGAAATATTAAAACATGGATAAAGTTTGAATCATTATTTAATCAATACATTTAAAAAAAATCAATAGTTTTTAAAAATACACAAAATATTATGAAACATGGGGTAGAGGAAGGTTTATAAAAGTTTGAGGTACTTGAGAGTAAAAAGTTGGGGAAAAATGTAGTCTAATCATGCAATTTACAGATGAAGAAATTGAGAGGATACATAATAAACAAATCACAACATTGTTCAGTAGTAGTGGAGCCAGCAAAAGATTTGTTTATTTTATATTTTGAAAATTGTAAAAGAAAATGACCTACTAGGCTATTTTTTTGATGTCAGGGTTTTGCGTTCTGTATCATGGTGTTCAGTACTTTCAGTATTTGAAACTCAAATGCTTCATCTCTTGTTTTTTTGGAATGCTTTAAGAACACGTTTATAGAAATAGGTAACAGTCACAGTCCAAATATTGGGATTTACTAATTTGTACTCCTTCTGCTGGTCAATTTTCCAGAAAAGTGGTTAGATAACATAACAAAACTTCTGTAGAGGTAATGTGGAAAAACTGCATCAAACCATAAAGAGTCTTCATGGACATATAGTTAAGGCTAGTTCATTTCAAGGTCCATTTTTCCATTCTTCATAGTTTTAGGGTGACCTTCATTCTTATCTACTCTAGTTATATCAGTACTTTAACCAGAGTACAAAATTAAACTATCATTAGTGTATGATATTGCTAAAAGAAAACTTATATTTTAAAATTCTTCTATAGTTTTATTCTAGATGTACCTATTTAATCTATAACATTCTTATCACACAATTAAATATAGTAAAATGAACAAATATGGACACACTTTATACAAACTTTAAAATTTTGGAAAACCCATAAGCAGAAGAGAATAATTTATCTACCGTTGATTTTTTTTTTTAAAGGTTTATAATTCATATTATGTAGACTATCAGATATTGCCATAATTAGAAGTGTAAATAGTAGCTTTCCTTCTTGTGGAATGTCTAAAAATGTTTTCTGTTTCTTCATGTTTCTTCCATGTAGTTCTTTAGACAGGACAATCATCGCTTCTCAAATACTTTCCTTTTGGTTTGCTGAGGGTGGACCACTGTCAACTAATGGTTCAAAAGAAGTACCTTCACAATTGTATCCAAGGCAGAAATGGGATATTTAATATTTCTTACATTTCATTAATCCAGTCTTCTGAGATGTTTATTAAGTAGAGAAATCACTTTCAAGTACCAAATTTCAAAACATTCTAGCCACAATTTAATAACAAGTGATAATAAGTAGAATTGGACATTCATTTTCTATGATATCCAATTAAAACTCAGACTTCATTTGGGTATATAAGGAACAGAGTAGAATAATCAAATAGGCATGCTAGTCATTGTCATAGATGCAACCTGAAAGAAAAAAAAAACACAAATTTAAAAATATTATTACAAATTTAATACAGTTATACAAATCACATATTATCTAAGTGTTCCACGGTTCCCTACTTTTCCTGGTTTCAGTATAAAACAAAACAACAGCCGTTCACTTTATGATGACCTAGTTAAGTGGAAGGTGATACATGGGCATTTAACTTTCACGTTCAGTGTACAGTTGGAAAAATTTCTGGGCAGATTTGTTGTCTATCAAAATGATTATTTTATTTGATTTTACACTTAAGTAAATGTAATTTGGGGTAGTTATTAAATATCGACAAGTATCATGAATTTTGTTGTTGCTAAGTGTCAACTCATAGTGACCCTGTACAGGGTTTCCGAGGCTGTAAAGTTTTGCGGAAGCAGAAAGCCTCATCTTCCTCCCATGGAGCAGCTGGTGGGCTTGAACTGCTGATCTTGTGGTTCCCAGTACAGTGATTATTCTATAGTCATTGTACTTCCTATCATAAATTTAAAAGATTAAAAGACAATATTTTAACTCTATGCTTCATTTTGTTGTTGTTATGTGCCATGGAGTCAGTTCCGACTCATAGTGACCCTGTACAAGGTTTCTGAGGCTGTAAATCTTTATGGGAGCAGAAAGCCTCATCGTTCTCCCGCGGAACAGCTGGCAGTTTCGAACTGCCGACCTTGCCGTTCGCAGCCCAATTCGTAACCACTACGCTACCAGAGCTCCAGAGCTCTTTGTTTTAGGTGAGATGAATTTTTAGAGCATAATTTGGAAACGTACTACATGATGATTGGTGGTGGTTATGTGCTGTGGAGTCAGGTCCGACTCATAGCAACCCTGACAGAGGGTTTTCCGAGGCTGTAAATCTTTATAGGAACAGAACTGCTGACCTTGAGGTTCACAGCCTGACTCGTAACTCTGACACAACCAGAACTCCTTATATGATGCTTGATAGTGGTGGTTATGTGCCATGGAGTCGGTTCCAATTCATAGCGACTCTGTACAGGGTTTCTGAGGCTTTACGGGAGCAGAAAGCCTCATCTTTCTTCCGCAGAAGAGCTGGTAGTTTTGAACTGCTGACCTTGTGGTTCGCAGCCCGATTCGTAACCACTACGCTACCAGAGCTCCTTTATATGATGCTTAGTAGATACAATTTAGTACCACAGGTATACATATTTATGTGGATAAAAGGAGAGAAGTTCTTCTTGGCACAATGAAAAATTTACCCTCAATTTTCATACTGTTGTTTTCAAGAAAATAAGTAAGTTTCTTTCTTGTTTCCTACTCAGTCCTGTGTGAACTTTCCTATGCCATAGCATTTACCATTACTCTGACTTCCAAGGGACTCAAATTCTGATCCATTTGGGAAACTTTAAACAATCCAGCAAGCTCTTTTGAGCATTTGTAAAAACAAGTTAGTGTCTTCATTGTCATTGTTTTCTGAAGTGGCTGCCATCTGAGACTTACCATCAGCAATATCATCATAGATCTCTCCATCACTGTAAATACAGAAAATGATCTTTATTTTAAAGAAAGAACTTAATATTAAAACAATATATAGAAGAAAAGAGAAAGAATTCAATCTTCTGTAACAGAAGATTGAATCAATATTCTGTAACAATCTTCTGTAGCTAAAGGTGAGAAGTTGCATGGGGTGTGTAAGTTAAAAAAAAAAAAAGATCATCTGTATCTCTTCTTTCATTTGCTTAATCTAACCCAATCTTTCATGCTAAAACTGGCCCATAACTTAGTCAGTAATAGGAATACAGGATAACGGAAACACGCCTGAAAAGAATAGACCATATTTTTATCATCTTTAGACCTTAGTGTGAACCTGGCACACAACTGTACTTAGTAAATAGTATTTGTAGACTTGAACTAACTGAATATCCATCATGATGGAATACCCTACATTGTTGTTGTTGTTGTTAAGTGCTGTCGAGTCTGTTGTGACTCATAGCGACCCTGTATAGTGTTTCTGAAGAGTGGCTGGTGAGTTTGAACTGCTAACCTTGTGGTTCAAACCAACCTTGTGATCCAGTGCATTTTCTACAGTGCCACACCAGGACTTCACAATACCCTATGTTGCTACTGTTGTTGTTGTTAAGTGCTGTCAAGTCAGCTCTGACTCATAGTGACCATGTATAGGGTTTCCAAGGAGCAGCTGGTGAGCTTGAACTGCCTTGCAGTTCAAATTGACCTTACAGTCCAGCGCATTAACCCACAGTCCCACAAAACTGTAACAATTTCTTTATGTCTCTTAACAGATTTATACTTTCACTTGAACCTCAAATGTTGAACTAAATACAATATTTGGCATGTTTCTCATTTTGTACATATGAATTCTAAAAGACTTTAGAAATTCCAATAAGAATTTCTGTATTAGTAGCCAAGATATGGCTATCATGGTGATATTTATGCTATATAATTCTTTTAAAAATGTTATTTCCGATTATAGGCAGTATCCGTGATAACTTTAGCTACTTAGGCACATTTTAGATTTTGCATGGCCCAGCATCTCTTTGGCATATTATACTCATCAAAAGTACAGAGTCTCTCCTAAGTACATATGTCCACATGCTGCTGCTGTGTGATGTTGAGTTGGTTCTGACTCATAGCGACCCTGTGTAGGGGTTTCTGAGGCTGTAAAATATTGTTGTTAAGTGCTGTTGAGTTGTTTCCAACTCATAGCGACCCTGTATAGGGTTTCTGAGGCTGTAAAATACTGTTATTGTAAAGTGGTGTTGAGATGGTTCCAACTCATAGCGACCCTGTATAGGGTTTCTGAGGCTGTAAAATACTGTTATTGTAAAGTGCTGTTGAGTTGGTTCCAACTCATAGTGACCCTGTAGAGGGTATCTGAGGAGCGGCTGGTGAGCTTGAACCCTGACCTTCTGGTTCAAACCAACTTTGCAGTCCAGGGCATTAACCCACAGTGCCACACCAGGACTTGGTACTGCTCTGTAGGAAAGCACTGCACTGCTAACTGCATGGTTGGTGGTTCAAACTCAACAGCTGCTCCTTGAACAGCCTATTCGGATTGCTCTGAGTCAGAAATTACTTGACAGCATGTCACAACAACAAATATGAGTGAGCCACATTCTATCATTTAAAGCAGTTTATAATCTAACATGACAGAGAGTGATCTTATGGAAGCAATTGCAGTAGAAAGTATTACAGATATTAATATAGTTTTCAACTTCATGATAGAGTTTCCAAGTTCATAAATGTAAGCTGATTTACATTTAGAGCAGACACGCTTTTGGCTTTTGCAGTATCTTTGGGCTTTTATTAAACAGCCAACAGCAGGTCATTGACTGCGCTGCCAGCTATACCAGATGCTGTTTGCTCCCTGTATCTTCTGTTTTGATCCTTTCTCTGAGATTAAGAGAGGGCTTAGCTAAGGGAAATTTTATACAAATGCAAAAAGGACAGGCTTTCCCATTATTCACTCAAAGAACATTTATTTATCCAGTATTCTATTTTGATATTGGTGGTGAGCCCATATCACTCAGAGTGTACTTTCCAAAAAGTTGCTTAATCATCCTGTAACAATCTCCAAAAAGATGTGGTCTCATTATTTGCCATACAAGCTTTACTTAAATTTTATATTGTTCATAGAGCAAAACCTAGGGAGTTCCTATGCCTGCCACCATGATTAATGTTTGTAGGGAAACAGAAGTATTAGGATTACATTTCTTTTGACTCTACTCAGTTGTTTTCAGAGCTCTTGCCCACACTGATACCCTGTGACTGGTGTCAGTATGTGTCTGGCTACATTGTTGGGGACTCTGCATGAGTCTCATTATGCTGATTCCCATCAGCTGGTGTATGACCTAATCTTTGAATCCATTTCTAAGACTGATTTATGTGTAAAACAATCTTGTAATGTTCCTAGGGACTGCAATTCACACTGGTACCAGACTGTGACAACGCCTTGTTCATAAGAATAGAAGAAATCATTGACTACTATCATTTCTGGCATACTTCCAAAAAAGGCGATTTAATACTCAACTATGCCTGGTGTGAGTGGAGAAAAGCCTTCAATTAGGGGCCAAAGGAGAAACTGTTCACAGGAGAGATTAGCACCTACTGTGTAGACACTAATTGGTCCCTGGTTGATTCAGTCCCACCAACTGCATTAATCAGCAAGTACAATGTGAAGTCTTAATGAAAGTATTAGTGACTTTGACTTGTCTGTCTACAGTATTTACTGAGTGGAGAGACCAGTGGATGCTTAAACTATAAATTGTATACTAATCAATGCAGAGGGCTTCTTGTCTTTTTAAAAGACTAGGACTTTATGAAACCTACAATTTATTATCAGTACGAGTATATTACCATTAATATAACATTGTTTTAAAATGAAGTTTAGATAGGTCAGTAAATTATAGTATTTAAACTATATTAAGAGTTATTATTCTTACAGAAAAGCGCAAAAGTTCTACTTGTTAGTAATTTTATTGGTTATATTAGAAGAAAATGAACTTACTTGTCTTCCAAAAAACTCCGAAGGACATAGCCGTCTATGAAGGAAACAAATGATGTCAATACACAGGATTGAAATATCTTCAATATTTCTTTTAAGATTTGAAATGTATAGACATTGACTCTATCTCTGAGTATGACCCATTTTTTCTTATTTACATCCATTTTCTCCCCTTCTTTCCTTGTTTGCTGACTTTTAAAAAATCTCCTCCTACATGTCTCTTTTTACTTTGATTTTGCAATTTTCCTCCATTCTCACATAAAGAAAAAACAACAACAAACTTTCATTTCTAAGCTACTGCAAACCACAGCAAAGTGTTCTTTTCCGTTTTAATGTTTGTTAATGTGCTACTCACATGATCCAGCTCTGAGAAGAATTTAGTAGAGAGTTTCCTCCAAGTCCCTGGGTGGTACGAATGGTGAAGTGCTCAATTACTAGCCAACAGATTGGTGGTTTGAACCCATCCAGAGACAACTTGGAAGACAGACCTGGTGGTGTAAACTGTACACGTGGTTTTGCCATGAGTCCAAATGGACTCAATAACAGCTGGCTTGGGATTATTTTAAACACCACCAGGCCCAGTGCTGGTGTTGTTGTAGGATAAGGACTAGACTGCTAACCACAAGATTGGCAATTCAAACCCACCAGCTGCTCTGCAGAAGAAAGATGAGGTTTCTGATCCCATAAAGATTTATAGTTTGGAAACCCTAAACAGGGTCACTGTAGCTTGGAATGGACTCAACTGCACCTAACCATAACAACAACGAAGACCTAATACTTACCTTTTCCATTTTCGTTATGTTGAGCTGAGTCAGACTGTGTGTAATAACTCTTTCAGATGCCAGAGTACTAATGGCTACTTGGTGGAGTCCGCATTGTGGATAGTCACAAAATGTTTTTGTTATTGTGGTTAGATGCCGTGAGTGTGGAATATCTTTCTCTACTGTTTTTGCCAGTAGGCAGATTGTTAACATTTGAATTTCTGTCCTTAATGGAACAAAATCACTACTGAAAGAACACATGAAAGATTCTGCGATTCCTTCTTAAGCAGAAAATAAGCTGTATTTTCTGCAAGAAAGCAAAGAGTTTTTGAGTACTTTCTGTTGGCCCTGCATTGGGCAAGAGATTCCTAGGAAAAGTGTGGACTGTTTCCTTGAGACTTTTCATATGCATGTTGTCAGCTAATATCTAATTAACATTACCAAACTTTAGAATTGCTGGTTTTGTGTAAACTCCTAAAACCTACTGTATGCTTGAGATGATACAATTTATTGCCTTGACAATACAGACTAGAAATCATTTTTCTTAAGGAGTCTATCTATTGGTTTTGGTCTACTTTAGATCTAGTTTTCATTCTAAATTAGTGCTGTTGTTATTAAGTGTCATGGCATTGGTGTCAACTCCAAACAACCCTGTATAGGGTTTCCGAGGCTATAAACCCTCACGGAAGCAGCTGTTGGGCTTGAACCACTGACTTGGTAGTTAGCAGTTCAGTGCTTATTCTAAGATGTTCCCTAAATTGGTGTAAATATGCTAAATGATAAATGGGCAGCCCACACCCAAAAATTTAATGCAAGAGACAATATACTTAGTGAAATACATTGATGTTATATTATTGTTGACTTAACATGACAAGAGTTTTTAAAAGACTAGGCTCATACAACTGAAAAATTAAGAGAAAGGTATTTCTCTTGGAATATTCCAGATTGAAATGATCCACCAAAATATCTTGTCCAGAAGCCCCTCACTCTGCTTAATGACGCTGCTGTGGAGTAGGAAGCAGGCCTCTTGAGTGGAGGCTACACCTGCAGCCAATGTATTTGGGGCTGGGGAGGGCTCTAAGAGCAACAAAGCAGACTTCCCTGGCACGCTTCCATTTGGAGCAGAACCTCTCCCACTGGGGTGCTGTCAGCTGAAAACCTACTGTGTATTGTTGCAGAAGGCCTAAGCAATGACATCTGCTTTCCTAGTAAGCCCTCTCCTAGCCTCCTTGTGTACTCCATAGCTCAAACCTCTGAAACCAACAGGAGACCTGTTGGGGAGCTCATCAGGTCTGAATGCTTCCACTTTGGGTCAGTGCTGAGGCTACAATGTTAGGACACAGGCATCATGATGGAGACGACACGCATGGTTAACACACCACCTGGAAGGCTCAGAGAGCAACAAGGCTGACTATTCTGGAGGTCTGTTTACCATGACAGTAATACACAATCCTTCGCCCCTCCATCCCCATGCCAGCCTGCCATGGACTGCCGTGAAAGGGCCCTGCAGTGGAGGCAGCTCCCATAGTCAGCACTCTACCTGCTTTCCTATTTAACCCATAACTCTGGCCTGGGAAACCAACAGAACAAACCTCTTTAGAGGACATTTAGAGCTAGTCTGCCCCATTTCTAGTTGGCACCAACTGAGACTGTGGTGTGTTAGGAAGCTGAAGTCTTGAGTGGAGGAGGCTGCACTCATAACCAACAACCCTTCATGAGGATCTGACCACAATGTGGCATCCCTACTCAATCTGGCAATTGCTGGTTGCCAGGTGGTTGCAAACTGCTACAGATCCTCCCACAGTTGAGTCTGATCCCATAGTCAGCGCTCTACCTGGCTCCCTGTGCATGCCATGTCTTAGGCCTCTGAAACCAACAGGACACATCTCCCAGAGGATCATTTTGGATCTAACTGCAACCAACATGGTTTTTAATTTGTGGTGGAGTGTTTCTGGGATTTAATTTGTTAAAATATTAAACTTGAATTTACCCACCACGTCTAGGACAGATCTGACACACTGAACACCAATGACTAAATTGGTATTCAGATTGTTGGGTTACTGCAAGGAACTCATACAGCAAGCAAGCAAACAAACAAACAAACAAACAAACAAACAAACAAAACCCCCAAAAATCATTAAAAATACAAGAAAGAAAGAAAAGACCAGAAGGATGTTAGAAGAGACTCTAAAACATGCTCTAGAAAGTAGAGAAGCTAATGTGACTGGAAGAAATGAAGAAGTAAAAAAGATGAACAGTAATGTTCAAAAGGCAGCTTGAGAATACAAAGTATTATAATAAAATGTATAAAGCCCTGGAATTGGAAAACCAAAAAGGAAGTACATGCTCAGCATTTCTCAGGCTGAAAGAGCTGAAAAAAAAAAAAAAATTCAAGCCTTGACTTCAAATACTGAAGGACTGTATGGGTAAAGTATCGGGTAATGCAGAAAGCATCCAAAGATGATAGAAAGAATATACAGAATCACTGTACCAAAAAGAATTGGTTAGTGGTCAACCATTTTAGGAAGTAGCCTATGATCAAGAACTGATGGTAATAAAGGAAGAAGTCCAAGGTGCAGTGAAGGCATTGATGAAGAACATGGCTCCAGGAATTGATGGAATACTAGTTGTAATGTTTCATCAAACTGATGAACTGTGCCAAGAAATTTGGGAGGCAGCTACATGGTCAACCATTGGAACACACCAATATTTGTGCTCATTCCAAAGAAAGGTGATACCACACAATAAGTAAATTATCAAACAATAGCATTAATATCATATACAAGTAAAATTTTGCTGAAGATAATTTAATAATGGCTACAGCAGTACATAGAGAGGGAACTGCTAAAAACTCAAGCTAGATTCTAAAAAGCATGTGGAATGAGGGAAATCACTGTTGAAAATAGAGAATACCAGAAAGATGTTTACTTGTGTCTTATTGACTATGCAAAGACATTAGACTGTGTACATCTTAGTAAACTATGGATAACATTGCAAAGAACAGGGAGCCCAGAACACTTAATTGTGCTCATGCGGAATCTGAGCGTAAAGCAATAGGCAGTCCATTGAAATAGAACAATAGAACACTTAAATGACTTAAAAGCAGGAAAGGTGTGTGTCTGTGTTACATTCTTTCACTATACTTCCTCAATCTGTATGCTGAGCAAATAATTTGAGAAGCTGGACTATATGAAGAAGAATGCAGCATGAGTATTGGAGGAAGACACATTAACAACATGCATGGTGGCTCTGTACGATAAGCACTGGATTGTGAACCACAAGATTGGCAGTTTAAGCCCACCAGTGACTCCATGAGAGAAAGATGAGACTTTCTGCCCCTGTAAAGATTTGCAGCCTTGGAAACCCTATACAGGGTTACTATGAGTTGGAACCAACAACATAGATGACACGACCTTGCTTACTGAAAGTGAAGAGAACTTCAAGTATTTACTGATGAAGATTGAAGACTACTGCTTCACTATGGATTATAACTCAATGTAAAAAATACAAAATTGCTCATAACTAGATCAGTAAACAGCATCAAAATATAGGGAGAAGACTCTGAAGTTATCAAGGATTTCATTTTACTTACATCCACGGAAGCAGCAGTCAAGAAATCAAGCAACATATTGCATTTTGCAAACCTGCCACACAATGTGTGATGACCTATTTAAAGTGTTAAAGAGCAAAGATGTCACTTTGAATATTAAGATCCACCTGACCCAAACCATGGTATATTCAATTGTTTCATATGCATGAGAAAACTGAACAATGAATAAGAAAACACAACAATAACTGATGTTTTTCAATTATGGTGTTGGGGAAGAATACTGCTAGAAGACCTATCAAATATATCTTGGAAGAAGTACAACTGGAATTCTCCTTGAAAGCAAGGATATCACATACTTAAAAACAGGGATGTCACACACTCATGGGCTGCAACGATTGTGGCAAACATAGGCATGAAGGTGAGCATGGCGCTGGATGGGCAGTGCTTAATTTGGTTCCTATAAATCAGAACAGATTGAAGGCATCTAACAACAAAAACCAAACTTCTTGGAGCAATGAAAGTTGTTATAATCCATACTGAAAGTAGTAGCCTTCAATATTCATCAATAAGTACTTAAAGCTCTCTTCACTTTTGGTAACTACGGTTGTGTCATCTACATGTTGTTGTTGTTAAAATTGTTGAGTCGGTTCCAACTCACAGTGACTCTGTGTAGGCCTTCTGAGGCTGCAAATCTTTGCAGAGGCAAAAAAAAAATCTCATCTTTTT